AAAACTATACCATTTTAATAAATTTTTATTAAAAAAAAATTAAAATATTTTATTTTTAAAATATAAATTAAATTTTTTTATCTTTTTTTGTATTAATTTTTTAAAAATAAAACTAACAAATATTAATTTTTTTATATTATATTTTTTAAAAAAATATGTTTTTCTTATTTTTAATAAATTAAAAAATATAGTAATTAATTAAAATAAATAAAATATAATATTAATAATTAAAGATACATCAATATCATCCTCAGTGTAAAAACTACTAAAACCAGTTATCCACGGCTTTATTTCATGTTAAAAAAAAAAAAAACCAGTAATCCACGATATGATTTCCACGTCGTTAATTTTCTAACCAAATACATGAACTTGACACGTCAACTCCAAACTCTCTTCACCCCTCCTATTAAAAAATGCTTCATCTCCCTCATTTTTCGTGCCTTTTCCATATCTCCCTCCTCCTTCCTCTCGTTGCCATTACCAGAAGAGAATCACCTCCCAGACAGACAATCTCCTACATTTTTGGAATCTCCGCGAAAACCGAGGGCAGGAGAGAGAGCCAGCGCCCGCCTTGGAAAAAGATGAGTGGACTTCTAAAGGGGAGGACGAGGGTGGTGTCGTCGGGAATTGAATCTCTGCGGTGGTGCTGGCGACGTCGGTGCCTGTCTCAGCTAGCGCAGGATGAGGCCGAGAACGACTTCGCTTCTAAAATGCCGCCATTCGATTACTCTCCTCCTCCCTATACCGGACCCTCCGCTGATGAGATCTTAGCCAAGCGGAAGCAGTATCTCAGCCCCGCTGTATTCCACTTGTACAGCAAACCAGTGAGTCCGCCATACACATCGAGACGTTTCTCCAATCACCTCAATTTCCAGAATATTTTTATTATTAATCAGAATCACACCACATGTTTCACGGATTTTAATTGGAATTTTTAATGATATTTATTTTTTGGAATAGTAATTAAAACAGAATGTTCTGTGCGTAATTTGCAGCTGAACATTGTCGCTGGGAAGCGGCAGTACTTGTTCGACGAGAACGGCCGGAGATACCTGGACGGATTTGCAGGGATTGCGGTGGTGGGCTGCGGCCATGCCCACCCTGATGTTGTCCAGGCAATTGTTGATCAGTTGAATCGCGTGCAGCATTCGACCGTCATGTATCTCAATCATGCCATCACTGATTTCGCCGAGGCCCTCGCCGCCAAAATGCCCGGCAATCTTAAGGTGACTGATTACCCAAAAAATGATCAGACGGCCCGCGTTTCTTCGACAGTTTCCATGATATCTTGTAATGAATTAGGAAATGATTTCTTATTTCCTGTTTTCGCAGGTTATTTTCTTTACGAATTCAGGGACGGAAGCAAATGAGTTGGCCATGATGATGACGAGATTGTATACAGGCAGCAATGATATTATATCACTGAGGAACGGCTATCATGGGAATGGCTCCGCAACCATGGGAGCCACAGCTATGTGCACCTGGAAATACAACGTTGCACAGGTATTTTCTCTGTGGTTAAGTATATTCTTGAACATTGATATTTTTTTCTTGGAAAGTTGTAAAGATTGTTAAATTCGAAGAATCTAAATATGACGAAGAATATTGTTCTTATAAATTCTTATTGGTATTCTAATGTTCTTCATTTTTGTATTGCTTAACAGAGTGGAATTCAGCATGCCCTGAATCCAGACCCGTATAGAGGTGAGTTTGGTTCAGATGGGAAGAGGTATGCAAAAGACGTTGAGGAACTTATCCAGTATGGAACTTCTGGCCGAATTGCTGGTTTCTTTTCTGAAGCCATACAGGTAATCATAGGAGCATTTGATTAATTCCTTTCTATATATGCTCTATTTGGGATTTGCCGGCATATGCTTCTTGTTAAGACATCTTCTTCCTTTCTGTGTTTCTTGATCACAGGGAGTGGGTGGAATTGTAGAGTTGGCCCCAGGGTACTTGCCTGTTGCATATGACATTGTAAGGAAAGCAGGAGGTCTTTGCGTTGCAGATGAGATTCAAAGTGGGTATGCCCGCACAGGGAGTCATTTTTGGGCCTTTGAGTCGCATGGAGTTATTCCTGATATAGTGACCATGGCAAAGGTTAGTTTCCTACTTTTCTGGTTATGTAAAATGTCATAGAATCCTCATTCTCCACCGACCAAAAAAAGGAACTTCAAGAAAAGAATCAAACCGAAAATGTAATTGTTCTCTGTATTTTGACTTGCTTTGTTCTCTGTCATGCATCAGGGCATTGGAAATGGAATTCCTCTTGGTGCCGTCATAACCACTCCTGAGATTGCACAGGTCTTGGTAAGCCGAGCTTACTACAATACATATGGTGGGAACCCTTTATGTACAGCTGCTGGCTTGGCAGTTCTGAAAGTAATTGAGAAAGAAAAGCTTCAGGAGAATGCTTTTGTTGTGGGATCCTACATGAAAGAGAGGCTAGCTGCACTGAAGGAAAAATTTGAACGTAATCTTCCTTCCTTATCCATTTTATTGTGCATTAGACATTCTTTCTTGCATCAAATTAAGCCTTTACTTTAAAATTGTAAAATAGTGATTAACCTTTTCTTATTGCATTAAATATTGATATCACCAGTTATTGGAGATGTAAGGGGAAGAGGTTTGATCCTTGGAGTTGAGCTTGTCACTGATCGCAAACTAAAGACTCCTGCAGGGAAAGAAATTGTTCATATAATGAACCAGATGAAAGGTTAGGCATTTCCACTTCCTATTCTGACCCTCTATGCTTTGGGGCATGCCTTACTAACAAACCCTCTTTATCATTTAGAACTCGGAGTGCTGATTGGGAAAGGAGGACACCATGGAAATGTTTTCAGAATTACACCACCTCTCTGCTTCACTAAAGAAGATGCTGGTCAGTTTGCCTCTCGTGCTTTTTTACCAAAGCAATTAATCCAATTTTTCAAAAGTATAATGGGAACTACCCATTTTTTTCGGTAACTCAATCCATTACTGTAATTAACAATCCCCAACTGAAGACGTGATTTTTGGTTGCAGATTTCCTCGTAGATGCCATGGACTACACCATATCAAAGATGTAAGCCACCATATAATAAAGATATCTGATTGATCTTTCACAGGGATGTATTATAAAGTGTTGTATCATTCAAACCTGTTATGAGGGAAAACTATTCAACTGATCAGATAGGTTTTCTGCTTGAACCAATCTCAGATTTTCTGTCCTAAAAAGCGTGAGTCAACAACGTGTTGCCTCTCGCATAAAATAAGATGCAGTAATATATTTCAGTCAGTTTCTCAATAGTTTCGGTTTCAATTACCCAGTGTTCCTTTTTTTTTAAAAAGAAAAAAGAACAATAATAGAACCGTTAACTTGCTTATTCAAGAAAAAAATAATCCTTGACTAGTTTTTACTAATTACTTAAAAGTTAAAAATAAAAGGGTGTTGTTTATTATATATTATTTATCATCTCACGTAAAAATAAAAAATAAAAAAAAATAAAAAGGAGAAAACTTCAGTACCCTCAATTAGCCTCCTATTGCAAAAGCAATAATCTTCGCAGTTATACAAGCGCGTAAGCAAACCAAAGATGAGATGAGTATGAAATTGAGCAAATCAGTGCCCGAAGCGTGTCTCCCCTAATATCTAGACTCCAGGATCTCTGCTTGTTAGAGTTATTGACAAGAGTGATTTCTAAATGTAACTGCTCCCTCCAAGAGTACTGTCTGCCCATTGACCAAATACCTTACCTTCATCAGCACCAAATTACATAGCCAGCTACCATGAGATGAAATTCTCAAATCCGAAATTTTCCCAATAGAGGGTATCAGATCCAAAATTTATAATTTCCAAAAATTTGACTGAAATTTTATGCATAAGATGACTTCTCTATATATCTCTTGTTTAGCATAAGAGAGGATGAACAAAACATTCTTGAAATCCATACTTGAAATTATCACATTTTCAGATTTTCTGTTTTGCATCAAATCATCCATACCATCCCAAACATTAGTTCCGAACGCAAAACAGCAATAAATAAATAGATAAAAAGAGAGATTTCTTTAAATGATGGATTCGATCGAATAACAACTGAAAGCAAATTAACCCAAGTACATAAATGAGCAGAACATCCTGGGAAAGTTAACAAAATTGAATCTTGACAATGAAAAAGCTACCGATCATGACGAACCGCCATGGAAGACAAAGGGAAGTAAGAAACGGAAGAGGTAGTGGCGGAGGAGGGTTGACGAACACGGAAGTTGGAAAATCTGATGGTGGACGTCACGACGGCGACGATGTCGATGAATAGGTAGGCGAACTCCTCGAAAACGCTGATGCACTTTCTGAGAATCACGGACACCAGCATGGAAACCGCATGCTCAAATCTAGGCATTATTTCTGTTGTTATTTTTTCCTCCTGGGACTGGAATGGATGGTATTGGGATCGGAGAAATTTTTAGAGGTTTCTTCATATAAGATGTTAAGTAGCAACTTGTAGAAGCGAGTCGAACACTGTTCCTGTAGTGAATTACTATAATACCCTTCTGATTTGCTTTTTTTTTTTTTGGGGGCGAGACGGCTCAATTATGTGATTATAAATGCTTTTTATTTATTTATTTATAATTAAAGTGTTTAGATCAAAGATTTGTTGATTTGAATAGAAAGAGTTTGATTTTTTTTTTTTTAATAAAATTTTAAATTTAAATCTTATGAATAAAAAAATAAGATCTATGAGAGTTTCTCTCAATAGGTCCGATTCAATTTGATTTCAAATTAGTCGGATCCAATATAATTACTAAATACTAAGATATTAATATTAAAAAAAACTGTTCAAGTTAATTTTTGTACATTTAAAAATTAATTTTTTTAATAATTTTAAAAACACTCTTTATAAAATATTTTAAAAAATTAATTTTTTTAAACATTAACTCAAAAACTTTAACTATTACTCTACAAAATAACAATAATTTACTACTAAATCTAACTCTAAAAATTAAATATAAATGTTAATAACTAGTAAGGGCTAAAGGATGTTTGAGATTTTTATCTTGGAATTTCTAAATTCTAACTTTAAAATAACTAAAAGTTTACAGCTCAGTGGCAAAAATTAAAATTCTATAATTTTGAGGTTATAATTTGTTTCAATTTATAAAGGGCTTTTTAAAGTTTTTTTTTTTGGTTAAATTTATAATGTATTTAAGTTGAAATATTTATATTGTATAAAATTTATATATTATTTTTATGTTTTACTCTTTATAGAAAAACAAAATATATGTTAATTCACACATAAATCATGATCTTCTAATAAAAAAATTTTAATTATAAAATATCAAGTCATATTTTACTAGAGAATTTCTGTCAGAATGATCAATGGGGCCACGAGACTCATATTGTACAATAAAATCAAAAAAACTTAATAAATTGGAAGGAAATGAAAAATAAAATGGGGCAGGAAAGTAATTTCAGCTAACAGCCAAACACTACCGAGGCAGGCGCGAAAAAACATGGGTGAGGACACTATGGTGACATCTTGCGGCTGAAGAAACTAATATTAAACTGTCCGTACACTTGATTTAAAGGTTTCCGCTCAAATATGTCGACATATTAACGAAATCGTAATTGATGAAAATATTTTATTACCCAAAAAAATTTTTTTTGATGAAAATATTTTCATAATTTTTTTGGTACATTCATTATTCCGATAAAACAACAACAACGTTTTTTTTCCTTTTTTCTTTTTGAAAAATTTTCACATGGATAAACAATGTTCTACTTTTTTTATATTATATTTTTGTTGATGTACTAATGTTCTAGCAATTAGGGTTTGTTTAGTTTAGCCATTTAAATGGCTTACAGTTTGTGGTTAATATATGCTGATTAATATAAGTTTTGTTTATAATTCAAATGTTATTATAAACAAATAATACTTTACCAATTAAATGTTGATAGTTAAACAATTGTGAATTCGTTTCTTGTTTACACAGATCCGTTTGTAGTTTAATTAATATTTTGTTTATTTGTAATTTTTTTAACAATTAATTATGATATTTAATAGAAAATATTAATTTATAAACTGAATTTAATTTATTAAATAATAAATATTAATAATTATTTTATTAATTATTAGTTATTTTTAATAATTAAATTAAACAAAATGTGAAAACCTTAACAAAACGATAAATAATTATAACCACACCTAAATTGTTATGTAATCTTATTTTTAACGACATGTTAAATTAACTTTAAGTATTATATTTATTAATAAATTATGTTTGAGATTTAAGTCTTAGAACCAACATTTATACAAATTAATTTCGTTAAATGTATTATGCTAAAATAAGATGTACACTCTTACGTTTAAAAAGAGATTTGTGTGTAAAAATTGAATCTACGATACCCTAATTGTAAATAAAAAAAATGTCAAATTATCATTTGTTTAGTTGATATGTCAAATTAGGTAAAATTTATGTTAAACTTTTATATTTATTTCAAATTTTCAATTTAATCCTTACACTTTTATTAAAGTAATTAAACCCTTAAACTTAGCAATTTGAATAATTTATCCATTTTTTTTCTTATAGTAAAGTTTAACCCTTTTCTTATAGGAAAAGGTTTAACCTTCATTTTTATGGGGAAGTTAATGCCCAGTTATATTTTAATTGTGTGAATAAAGTCAATATTCACCATCTAAACAGTAATATATTAATATTTTATTCACCTAAATAAGATATAATAAGTTATTAAGTTATAAAAAAAAAAGTTAAATTACCTTTATTATTAAATTTAGATATTTATTTATTTTAAAAAGTTAATTAAAAATTTGAGATAAATTCAGTGCTTAATACAGGGTTTTGCCGTCAAATTACTGTTGATCAGTTATTCTGCTGACAAATGGCGTGTACTTTATTCTGTTATATTTTGAGACAGACAGGAGTTCTGCCGCAGAGCTGTGATTCGACCGAAAGAAAGAAATTGAAGATGGAAACAAGAAGGGCTACAGTGAGAAAGCTGACCACGGTTGGGTTGGGTGCATTGGTAAAAAAAACTTGGTTTTGACTTTTTATATTATCAAGTTTGAAATAATATGATATTTTTAATTTTTTATCTTATTAAATTTATAGATTTTAATCCCTCATTTATTAAAATAAAAAAAAATAACTTTTATTTTATTTTAATTTCTTATCTTATTAAATTTATAGATTTTAATCCCTCATTTATTAAAATAAAAAAAAATAACTTTTATTTTATATTAATTGGTAATTTTGTTAAACGAAAGTAAATTTTTATCAACTAATAATCAATTAATAAAATTAACGAAATATTATAAAGTTAATTTTGTTAACTCTATTAGTTGAAAGAAGGTTTTTATCCGTTAACAATCAACTAACAGTCAGATAATAAAATTAATAGTCAATTAATAAAATATTACAAAATGAGAGTTATTTTTTTCAATTTTAATAGGTGAAGGGTTAAAAATTTATAGTATAAAGCGTGGGTTAAAATCTACAAATTTGATAAAGTGAAAAGTTAAAAATATTATAATATAAGATAAAAATTAAAACTTTCAAATTTGAAAAAAAGAACGATTAAAAGTAGCTTTTTACATGGTGCCTTAGGGTGGGCCTTACTGCCTATGGACATCTTAGAATTCAAAACTCCTGTGTAGATGGGCCATAGTGATCCATCAGTCTGAACTGGACTTTGCTAAGGGCCCAGATTCAATTATCTAAGTGAAGCAGATAATGTTCATACAGAACCTATCTTTAATCTGACCTTAACAAACCGAAAACATTAGATAACCATGGCTGCGATAATGATAGTATTTCATACTGATCTATTCCTGCATAGCACTCAATTGATTAGGTCCATTTAGGAATCGCCGTTGGAATTTAAATATTTTAATAAAAATTAAAATAATATATTTTATATACTAAATTTATTATCAAATTAGGAATTTAATTAAATTAGTCATTATAAGTTAATTGTCTTATTTAATGATATATTATTTCATAATAATTATCTAATTTATTTTTATCATTAATTTACAAATAAAAATTACAAAATCATGAGTCTTATAAATAGAACATATCTTTTTACTCAACTAATTTGTGTTCCTCCACTTTCTTATTTTTCTTACCTTACTTTTATCTTTTAAATATTATTTGGCAAAGAAAAATATTTTGAGTTATGTGACTTTATGAATAACACAGATTTATAAAGTGTTATCATAAAATTGTAATATTTTGAGGCGACATGTTATGTATATCTCTGTTACATCAGTTAATCTACTCTCCACAAAAATATAAATTGCTTTAAAATAAGTAAAATTGCTTTAAAATAAGTAAAATTTTAACGTTTATTTTGATGATATTGTATTATCTATATTTTTTAAAATTTATTAATTATTATTTTATTTAATCTTGTGATCAAAGTACAATAATAACATGACGTGAAGATGACCTCAAGGAACAACAATCGTTGTGTTGTTCGGTTGGATAAGAAAATGTACTGTAAAAACAATCTTAAAATGGGACAAAAATAAACAAACAATATAAGTACTATTTAAGATTAGAATAATAAAATTATTTATGAACATTTTTGACATTGTATTGATATTTTTAAGAGCCTTTTATTGTAATATAAATTGTATTAAATTGTAAAATAAAAAGTATTAGATAGAGATAGAATCCCCAATATCAAAAAAATTCATTTTTATAAATATTGTGTAATCTAATATAATTCAAATTGTAGAATATTTTTTTTTTATTTTTAATATCTAAAATTATAAAAAATGATTGATTTGCACTTTTTTCAACATATTTTTTTATTATTTGTTTTTATTTAATTAATAAAATATAATATAAATATAATTAATTTAATCAATTTTATAATTTATATGTATAATTATATTTTTAAATATATATTTTTAATTTTAAATAAAATAATAATAATTTTTTAATAAATACATTAAATAAAAATATATACTAACTAATATTCAAAAATTATTGTGGCAAACTGGCAATATATGTGCATTTGAAAAAGCAATATATAAACTCAAAAGCACTAGGGGCTTTGGAAAACATCTGTCTCAATTACCTTCCAGAGACTTCCATTTTCCGTACAACATTATCTTGACCATCAGAAAGCACTTCAACATTATCCCGACATGAGGTTGGGCCTTTTTACCATATTAAACACAGTTGATCGATCTTGTCAAAAAGCAAGCAATCAACGTTGGACTTAAAGAATTCAGGAAAATTACTTTTTTTTTTTATTGGCCTCTTTAATTGAACCTTAGTTAATTAAATAGGGAAGAGAACACACTCCCTTGTCCCCTAGTCTATTATACTTGGCACTGTTTCAGATATTTTTGGGTGTTCTTATTATGATGCCTTTAATTATTAATTTTACATCTTTTTATTTTATTTATTTTGTTTAATTTTAATATATGGAATTTTTAATGAAAGATATTTAATTTAATTATTTATTTTTTAAAAATATTATTGATTGTGTTTATTTTTATTTTACAAATACAATTATAATATATAATAAATATAAATAATTATTTAAGTAATAATTAATTAAAATAAA